TGCAATTAACGTTCAGGCACACCACAAGATAATATAATTTAAAGTTCAATTCAAATATTAATTGTCTACTGTATGTTAGCTACCATGTTTCTTTCAAAACATAATAAAAAAAAAAAAAAACTGTGACTAAAACCCTAAATATATTCTATGCACACTCCATATACTTTTTATAACTGTAACATTAACAAAGTCATAATGGACAGCACAATTTCTTGTTAAAAGTCACTAAATAGGGCCAGCCCGGTGGCGCAAGCGGTTAGGTGTGCACGCTCCGCTGCAGCAGCCCAGGGTTTGCCAGTTCGGATTCCAGGCGCGCACCAACGCACTGCTTGCCAAGCCATGCTGTGGCAGCATCCCATTAAAGTGGAGGAAGATGAGCATGGATGTTAGCCCAGGGCCAGTCTTCCTCAGCAAAAAGAGGAGGATTGGCAGATGTTAGCTCAGGGCCGATCTTCCTCACCAAAAAAAAATAAAATAAAATAAATAAAAGTCACTAAATAGTTCAAACAAAAATATATGTTTACTGATTAAAAAATACAATGTTACTATTAAAAAATCAGAGAGGTATTCTGCTAACACTAAGGTACAATGGAACAATCACTGCAAAGTAATAAAGATTCCATAGCCACTTAACACTGACTCGAGTCTTAACTTTGCATGAAATAGCAGCTATAATAGTTTTCCTCCTCTTCCTCTTCTCTTGGTGTTAGAAGCAAGCACTGAGAGAGAAACTTAAAACATTTATTCAGAAGATACAAACCACACTCCACAGCACCTATTAGTAACAATTTAAAGGCAAAGACTTAATCTCCCTTAATATTGAATTGCTGCACTTTGCAAGTAGACATCAAAATTCAAGTATGGTCCTTATCCTCAAAAACTTATCTTACTTACGTAGACTAATATTACTAATTCAGATTCTTTTTTCTGTTATCAAGGATAGTCAAATATCCTCAAAAAATCCAGATGAGTTACTTATTTAACAGAAAACAGATTTTGAAGACTTTTTGTTTCATCCAAAATAAGTTTATCCTGCTAAGTATTAAATACAAACAAGTTTATCAGAACTATATTTAATAAGCATATTTTATAGATGAACATCTCTAACAGATATACTAAACAGAGACAATTTTGTCACTTACTCTAGGCTAGGGCTTCCTTTTCAAAAAAAAACTGCAGACATATATTTAGTAAATCAAGTAAAAAAGACCCTTTGTGTATAAGGATATACAGAGTAACTCAGTTCTATAGTCAACAGCCTCTTGTAAAAACTTTTAAAACTAATTTACTCCAAAAGATATGCAGGAATTCAATAGAATACAAAGTTGCTGGTAGATTTCTATTTCTGGTTTCTTCCATAATAAATACTAGAGGTTTAAGCTGAGCAGCTTTTTGACTTAAAAGATTTTTCCACAGTCAGCAACTTACAACAGGACATACTGTAATACCAAAATGGAAACTACTTAATCAACATTTCCTCATGGAAACACAAATCATACATAACAGTCTATACGAGTAAAGTTTTATTTTAAAAAGTAGCATTTAAATTTTATTTAGCAACAGAAACTCAATTTTTTTCTCTGGTTCTGTCAACATATTCAGTTAATTTTAGTCAACATTGATAATACACCAAAAAAATGAAATGTAAGCAATAATATAAGGCAATTTATTTATAATGTTGAATAAAACCACACCTTCATCTTTTTAGAACACATGCTGCTGATTTTTAAGTCCTATAAAATAAATATGATCCTGTTCTCATGCTACGTGTTTTTAAAACTGTTTCTACAGGGCCAGCCCCGTGGCTTAGCGGTTAAGTGCGCGCGCTCCGCTGCTGGCGGCCCCAGTTCGGATCCCGGGCGCGCACCGATGCACCGCTTCTCCGGCCATGCTGGGGCCGCGTCCCACATACAGCAACTGGAGGGATGTGCAGCTATGACATACGGCTATCTACTGGGGCTTTGGGGGAAAATAAATAAATAAATAAAACTGTTTCTATAAAGAATTTAAGCCATGTGGAAAACCCAACAATATGTGAATCATCCAATACACAAATCTTTCAGATCTCAGGTTTCAAATTGCAGTCATCTATAGCATCACAAAAGGCTGACAAAAGATTGAAAACTGTTGGGAGTAATTTCAAAATGTTCCTCTTCCCTTTCTGTCCACTCTCCAAAATATACAGTTTAAATTAATAAAAAATTAAAACCTCATAACTGAAACTCCCTCAGCCTCATAGTTGGTTCTGTTGGTTTTACCACATTTAACTTCTAAATTCTATCATTTAAGAAAAACTGCAGGAAATAACTTTTTAGTCATTGAGCTCTTCATTTAAATACAAAAAACTATTATTCAGATTTAAACAGGCTATAGTAGTAGAATTCATAAGCCTTGATACCCTAAAAAGAATCATAAAAATAGATTTCGGGGCTGCCCGGTGGCAGAAGCGGTTAAGTGCGCGCGCTCTGCTGCGACGGCCTGGGGGTTGGCCGGTTCGGATCCCGGGCACACACCGACGCACCGCTTGGCAAGCCATGCTGTGGCGGCGTCCCATATTAAGTGGAGGAAGATGGGCACGGATGTTAGCCCAGGGCCAGTCTTCCTCAGCAAAAAAAGAGGAGGATGGGCAGATGTTAGCACAGGGCTGATCTTCCTCACAAAAAAAAAAAAAAAAGATTTCATTAAGCAGGCATGATAGGATAAATAAGGATACACTACAAGGACAAGCTTTTCTTCACTAACCACCGTTTATTTTATAACCTTTAGTTACACAGCTCAAGTTTATTAGTACATTTTTTTATGGAGACAAGAACTACAGCTACAAGCATACTTACTTAGCTTTTTGGTATGAAAAAGAAGAGAATTTCACAATGCTAATTTTCTAACATCTACACATCTAGATAAACTAACCAGGTAAGCCAAAATAAACCATGATATACATATGAAGATGGGTCGACCCAAGGGAAGTAATATTAATTTGTCTTCTGACTCACAGACTTTTAAATAATCCTTTGCAATACTCCTCATTTAATTGCCTCATTCTTGGTGCTTCCTCTTCACAATGTCTAAACTCACTTCCTAAGAGCTTTCTTCTTGCAGGAATCAGCGTTTATTGACCTCACCAAGTACACACATTTGCTGTTGTCAGCAAAGAACACAGAGGTTGGAGAAAAAGCATCATAGAAGCACTGAAAGGGTATGAAAGTATATCTTCTCATATAGTAACACTTGTAAAGATCTGGGACCTTATATTTAATTTAATATAGAATTTTGATATTTAAAAAGAAATATAGCATTCCAACCCAAGAGTTCATTTCATCTGTCTGATTCAGGGCCTGACATGTAGTTGCTAGAACTGAATGGAAAGAAAGGTAATTTCTACCACATTTACTGGTACATGGTTAAGCAATATTAATGCCTGTGTATTTTTCATAGTGTGTTAGAACAATCTTACAAAGGTTCTTACAAACAAAAGTGCAAGCCTCTTGAGGTCTTCTGAGATCTCATGGGACTTTTCATAATGGGAGGGTGTTAATCTCCAACGTCCTGGCTTATTTCCAATTTGGATCATTAGTTTCTGCTTATCTAAATTCCTATTACCGTTCCAGCTGGCTCAGGTATTCTTCATTTCCTGTCTTGAACCACAGTCCATGCACTATTAAACAGGCAAAGTGAAATGGCTTCTTTGGATGCCTATATACCACCGAAAACATTTCATATACCTTTAGGATTAATAAAACAGTAGTTTAAGCCATATACTGTTGTGACTGTTCAAAAAATTTTACCATTATTTTGTATGGCACACAGAATGTTCTGATTGTAATTTTACATAGAATTTCTAGGTTTTACCTCTGTCAAGAAAATTTGTCCACGATGAGCTTAAGTGCTAACAAAGCTGTGACACTGCAATTAAAGTTTTATTTCACACCATGTTAGTAACCAAACCTGAGCTAGCTCAAGGATGAAACAAAGCTAAATGGACCCAGTTTACCACTCCCCATCCCTACCATCCACATATGCATACTATACATACACACACACACACACACACCACCCTCTCTCAAACACACTCACAAATACAACATATATGTACTTGTGTATATATATATATATATATGTACATGTATGTACACTGTATAAACGTGTGTCTACATATACACATTATCTCAACTAGACACACATGTGGTTTATAAAGATCAAAATAGAAGAACAATATATCTTCCTCTCTTCACAGAATAGGAACTACAGATCCTTGGGAACACTAAAACAAAGAGTGAGAGGTCCATAATCCTTTATCCAAAAATTCTAAAATCCAAAAAATTCTGAAAACCAAAGTTTTACATAAAACTTATTTTGTGGTAAAACTTGACCTGAACTGAAATGAGGGCAATTATAGTCCTCATTGATCCCACTCAATGTGCATGTTAATATGTTTCAATTCAGAAATAATGATGTATTTAATTACAGCATTCTGCCATAGATCCCTCTGGGGAATATTATATAATATACAGTACATACCACTAATTCACTTTTTTTTTTTTTTTAAGATTTTATTTATTTTATTTTTTCCCCCCAAAGCCCCAGTAGATAGTTGTATGTCATAGCTGCACATCCTTCTAGTTGCTGTATGTGGGACTCGGCCTCAGGATGGACGGAGAAGTGGTGCCTCAATGCGCACCCGGGATCCGAACCCGGGCCACCAGCATTGCAGCGCGCGCACTTAACCACCAAGCCACAGCGCCGGCCACTAATTCACTTTTAAAATTCAAGAAATTCTGCATTCTAAAACAATCCAATCTCAACGTTTGGAGCTAAGGAACTGTGTAGTAATACTTTTATATTAAAAAAAAAAGAGAAGTTTATATAATTGTCTGCTTTCCCTCTACAGCTTTCACTACTTGCAATCTTCTATAAGTTCCGAAGGGGGGGCGGGGAGCCACAACAAAGTTCATGTCTTTAACTCCTCTCTTTAATGCTTATTAATCTCCCTTTTGCCAAGACAGGCTTACCCTGGACTACAGGCAGCAGTTAGCAGCCAATATGACTAGGGGAGACAGAGGTAATAGGAGAGGGCTACTTATTAAGATTCACAGAAAATATTCAAACCACAAATTTTGAATCTTAAGAATTTCCCATATTCTCAAGGCTACTATTATGTCTAATAATAAAAAACCTGTATCAATAACAATGTTTTATGTTTTTGAGTTTGCTTTCAAATATGTCATTTGACCTTCATACTTTATATCACTCTATATAGTCACTTTATATAATAACTCATTTGTAGAATTATTACATATTTTAATCCCAGACTTACAGCTATGACATTATCTACTACCTACCCCAATGCCAACCCCCAAGATAATTCAGAATGCATACTTACTGCAAGAAAATAAGATAATGTATTATAAGACAGAATATAAATGTCTTTTCAATTAAGTTACTTTTTGAATCAGATGAGCAATTGCTCATCCCTCAGATACCGAATCTCTTTTGAATTAAATCAATGTAAATCACTAGTCAAGAAGATTCCATTTCATCTGTTTTCTACAGAGAACACATCCTTCTTCCTTGAAACATTAAAGTATGTTCTACATAATCAAGGTGTGTGAATATAAGGGTTTTTTCTTTAAAAATGTAATAATATACTGTTTAAAGCAGTAATGTGTTTTAATATTTACTAAGGTTAATTTTGCAAATTTGTCTGAAACTGAATGACTTGGCTATTTCATTCACAAAGGTAAATGAGTCACTGCAAGGTGAACTAGCTCTAATTCAACAGGATAATCTATAATTACATCTGTATTAGATGTAATCACCATCAAAATCAATAGGAATTTCGAATTTACCTTTATTTTTTAAAAGCATAAGGATTCTAAACCTTGCTTATAACATTTCAACTAAATTAGTTAGACATATAAAACGTGATTATCTAAATTAAATTTAATCAATTTTAGCTATATCAACCAAAGAAGCTTAAAAATTTGAATTATTCAGCATATTCAACTTTAGCTTCTTTATTCTTTTCATTTTTCAATAGGCTCCATGAATTTACATGTGTCTTGCTCACCACTGTATCTCCAAAGCCTACCTGAGTGCCTGGAGCTTAGTAGACATTCATTCAATAAATATTTGCTAAATGAATGAATTAATAAATTACATCTAAATTTAGAATTAGTAAAAACTACATACACCAAGTAAACTTTCTGTAAAAAAAATCTGTTTGAAGTTTATTTCAGTAAACTCTGATGAATTTAGTGTCTTGTCAAACGACTTCTATAAGTTCATGTTGTTAGATGAATCACCATTAGCCCTGAATTTCTTTATTACTGAAAATACAGTAAGATGAGGACTTGTAGCTCTAAACCTAGATAAATCTATGAAAGTGATGACCACATCATAGCCTAACCTTCTGCAAATGTCAAAAACCAACCTCTAATTCTGAGTATTGAGAATTTAGGTAACTCAATAATTTATCCAACAACTAACCACTATGTGCCCAGCATTATACTAGGCATCCCAAATACATATACAAATAACATCTACCCCTAAGAAAAGCACAAATGTGAGAGAGGAGAGTCACATGAGTAAATAACCAAACACGACTAGCAGGGTGAACAAAATCTTACAAGAAACGAGAAGACGACTGAAATTGGAGGTCTGATCTGGCTGTCATAGGAATGTGGAATAAGATGTGGAGGTTGAGAGGGTGCTAAGCCCAAAGTGTCAGAGAAAGGCATTACGAACAGAGGGAATAGCATGAGCAAAGGTACAGAAGTAAAGAATACCCACACACACATACACAAGGGAAAGATAATGAAACATTTTTAGAAACAAAATAACATTAAACTACTTGGAGATGGACATCCCTTTTTATAAAATATTCTTACAAAAAGAGCCTTTAACAAAATAATTTTAACAAAATAATATTCTCTCAGGAACCTAAAATTCTAGGACTAGCATAAAATTTACAAAGTAGTCCCAGAAAAGTAATTCAATCTGCTGTTATCTAAAATAAATAGAACAAATCTTACATCATTTCCTTTGACGTTTAAGCTCAAGTCAAAACCACATGAGCAACAGCTTCAAATCCTTACCTTTTATTTTTACCACTTTCATGAACCTCATGTCAGTTTTTCTAAAACTCCTGAATTTAAATTCTTTTATAGTTATTAATCTTGTCTCTTCAAATAGGACCATAATTTCCTCAAGAGCAAAAACCATATCTTAATAGTCTCTGAAGGTCCCCATACAGATCTAGAAATATAGTAGATATTCAATTAAATATTTATTGACTAATTGTTTATTGAGGTGGGGATTTTTACCTTTTTAAAGCACATGCTACTTTAAAATATACTTGGTCCTATTATATAGACTTGCAGCTTTTCATTCTAGTTGATCACACTTGATAAGAAAACCAGAAAACAGGTGGGAACCAATCTTTTGAGATTTTTAATCTGCACCCTGACATCATAACCTGGCATCAGGTTTGACTACCACCTTTGTCCTTCAGAGAAAATTCTATTAGTCAACCAGCTCACAGCAATCACAGAAGAGACCCTAAGAATAGGGTTTGCGACCCTGAGTTTATACATTAAGCCAACATTCTAAATAAAATAATGCAAACCTGAGTTGTAGATGTTTTTATGCTTCATAATACTCATACTACCATGAAAAACTAAAGAAAATATAAGATGTAAACGGACTCTTACTTTTTCTGTAGAAAGGCACAAATAGAAGACATTTCAAACTATTTATTGAAGGAGTAAATAAAATAAGTATAACTGGAATTAAAAATACACTTAGGCTATTTTGATGATAAATGATTACTTCAAAAACATTTGGTGAGGGAAATAAAGAACACTTGGTAAGCTTCAGGGTAAAAGGAACTATTCCTTTTATGACTGAAGGATAAACATATAATTGTGAAGTTGATTATGTTTAGAACATTGGTAGTAGTCCATGAATACACTTGAGTATTTTTAAAAAAGGAACAGTTTGAGGTAAACATCCGTTAAGAATATGTGTGAATTAATACACAGTACTACAATTTGAAAAGTATGAACCTTAGAATATTTCCCATACAAGGATGGAAATAAACTTATTTATTAAAAAGCTTTGATTATATTACATGTATATTCTTGCTTCCAGAAATAAAGATAATCCTGGATTATAATATAGAAAGTGATTTTAATAAAGAAAATTAATTCTCATTAATTTCTAATAATGATTTTTACATTATTACAAGACAGCATTTAAAAGAGAATGCAAAGGATAAATGATTAAAAACAATCACCAAAATCCATGGTGAAACTATTAAAGAAATAAGACATCCTGTAAAACATGGAAGTTTTCTAATATTATTTAGACTTTTAATCTTGGTATGTATTATGAGAATTACATTCTAATCCTTTCGTTTTACTGATGGCTCCAACCCAAGCTTTTCCTTAAAACAAAAAGAAATCAAGCTTTTAGCTTCTTGAGCAGTTTATTTCAACTCATTATTTATACAACAGCTACAGCTGGCTAAACTTGAAGTCTGATTTGCTTTGTTGTTTTCGTTATCCTTTGAAAATTCTCAATAATAAAAAAAACTAGTGCTTACTATTACCTGGGTAAAAGGAGAGTACTTTCAAAGAAAGATTATGTAATTCACAAAGTAATATAACCACAAGGTTCTGAAAATATAGCTACAAGTAGTGTCTCCACCAGTCTATTTCCACTCAATTTACACCATGATCTATCTATGAAAGGACTATCTTACAGGTAAATGAAACTGACCTGGGTCTATTCAGCTAGCTTTACTTCCTTCCCATTTCCCAACAAGCCAGACTGTTGTATAATTATTATCTCAGAAACAGTAAAGTCTGTTTTTTTGAGCTGCCGTTTCATGAACACTAGGAAGCTTTAATTTTCTTTCATATGCCATAGAATGTATAATACTTGACTAAAATTCATGAACCAAATTTTATTTTTCCAATACTAGTCATCCTCTGATCCTTCTACATTGTTACTTCTGAGATTTCTACAAATCTCAAAGTGTTTGACTTAAGTGGTGGCTGAAATCAACAGCACAGAAAACTCAGCTTGATTCTGAAAACTGGACCAAGAGTTCTGTACTTCATCATGGAATCATGAATTGCAACCAACAGCTGTTCCACTCACCAGCTATTTTAAACCATTTAATATGATCTCTAACAAGACTAATTCTTTTCCAAATAAGCATGTCAACACTTATACCAAAACTATGCTGTTCTTCAAATTTCTCCTTGAAAAGCTTAGTACTTATTTAACTTATGCTACCACTTTTCAAATAATTGCAGAACTTTCTATTCAGAAATCTCCATCACAGAAAATTTACTAATCACATAAAGAAATCACTCTCATTACTGTGTAAACATCGGATTAATACTCTTGGCCTGGCTTTTTTCCAGTTTTCCTTCCTACCAGCTCCTCTATTTCCATATTCCCTTAAATCTGGCCCCCTGCCTTTTTCTTCCTTATGATTTTTGAAATCAACACTATGAGAACTCATAGGGTGGGAGTGAACCTTGAAGAGATCCAGGAGAATGGATGGTGGAACAAAAGAAATAGATCTGGAATTACACAATCATTTTCATGCTTCTTGCTTGCTAGTATCATGGGTAAAAATGTATTAAAGGCCAGGAACGAGTCTTTTTTTTTTTTAAACTTAAGTTGTATAATATCCATACTTTCACTTGCAAGAAGTATCTTCCAAGCCAACAGTTTGCAAGTCAACATTCAGGAGGATTAGAAGAGGGATGTATCCAAAATGTTAACTGAAATCAGTGGATTTCAGCTCTGCCCATCTGGGGGTGACTTATACCTCACCTCCTTTCCACGGAACACTCCATATTCCCTCCTCCTTATCACTCTGCTAATCAAGCCCTACACAAAGATTAACTTCCTCCAAAACAGTCAGTGCTCTAACTTAAGGCTGACCCAGACCGCTAAGAGGTCTCGAATACCAATGAATGATGATCAATAACTATTTCCT